ATTGACAATATGTTTAGAAAACTGCATCATGGAACCCGGAAAGAAATGAGTACACATCAGAAATCAAAGGAAATGAAATAATAATAATAATAATAATAATAATAATAATAATAATAATAATAATAATAATGACAGGAATAACGGTAGAGTAATAATAATGAAGCGGTAAAATTAAAACCCATTTCACCATATATATTCTTGCATATAATTTTGAAAATATAAAATTGAAATTTTAGATTTTAATTATAATTTTTTTTTACTGCTTAGTTGTTATTAATAATATTATTTTATTGTTTGTTTATCTTATGTTAAAATTATATTTTTATCCTATTTTATTTTGAACTGGTTTGACATTCAGCTCTCTGGATTACATCCTCCTTGAGATTATCCATACGGATTAACAAACGTTTCATTCCCTAACCATATATATATATTTTTTTTTTCAAACATATACTGTTAAATATGTCAGCATAACAGACAATGAATGTCTATTAGGTTTGATCATTGGCTGTTCTAAGCTCCGTACAGTTGTTTTAATTTTGGGTGAAAATAAGGACAAAAATTGTCCAGAATTTGGATATATTTCTTATGCACTTCATTGATCCAAGCTTTTGACTCATTTGAGCCATCTTCAGAGTGATTATACGGATATTTAAACAAGGATATTCAACGTCAAAGATGATATTCTGTTGACATAGAAGATTGCTATACGATGATAGCGGTCGCGGAATTGTAGACGCAGGTCATAAATTGAGGATGTGGTTCTATGACATCGTACCATATGAGAGTGAGAGACCCAAGCATTAACAGAACTACATGACTAGATGCAATATATATATATATATATATATATATATATATATATTGCATCTAGTCATCTGGTTCTCTTCAACATTAGATCGTCTATGGTGTGTGTATGTCAGCACGAAATGTATCTTTATGCATTAGACATCCGACAACATTCATATTTCTCTTACTTAAACCCCTTCCACTCACCTCTCCTAAAATTCTCTCTGTTAAGGTTTAAGCTCCCTCCTTCTCTAGTCTGTTACCCCTCACTTTAGCTCTAACATTCGTCCCACACCCCTCTCATACTTACCTCTCTCTAAATTCTGTTTTTATTTCCGGAGTTATTTTTTATATGTTTTTTATTTTGAATTTGTAGGTCTGATGAATTGGATCGTATTTAAATTATGGAACCATAGAATATTAGTGTTTAAGCCTTTTTTATATATATATATATATATATATATATATATATATATATATATATATATATATATATATATATATATATATATTTACATATAGACATATAGTACTGAATATTAATAAATATGCATATTATCCCTCACCTCTAGCATGAGGCATGAGACTCAGATCCGTGCTAACGATGAGGCATAACACACACCCACATACACACACATATATATATATATTGAGACATGTTTCATTGAATAATTCAGACAAGTAAAAAATGATTAATTTTCAGATGAACACAGGAATTTTGTCTTTGGATATGATGAACGAGACAATAATTTCTTAAAAATTGTGCTAATGTCGAAACATGTTTCAATGAAAACATGCTGCCAATATGTACTCAATATATATATAGTGGGTAGCAAAGGAATTTAGCACATCGTTTTTTTTTATAAATTTCCCAATATAAAGTTGCTCAATTTGAATGATACTTACTTCAAATATTTTAAAGAACATTGTCTAACTAAGCAGAAACATTGTTTTTATGTACTTTTATTGCCAATTTTCGAATTTGACTGTGTGCAAAAGTATTTAACACGATTTGTTATATATATATATATATATATATATATATATATATATAAGCATTACTCTTCAAGAATGAATTGAGTTCTCCGATCCGTTGGCGTGTTTCGGTTTCGAAGAGTGTTATCGGGTTTCGACCCCGGCTTGAAGAAATCAGACGTCTAGTCGCACTGACGAGCTGTGATACAGCGAAACAGTCTGTCTGCGGATGACTATATATATATATATATGCTACCAGAAACCCGGCTGAGCTCTCTAGGGAAAGGGATTTTTAAAAACAGCAGCTCCTACTGCTATTAAGCATTACTCTTCAAGTATGAATTGAGTTCTCGGAGATGCTGGCGTATTTCGTATAGAGAAAAACGGTGAAATTCCCTCCCTTTCTGTCGTGCAACGAAGGCCTAGAAGTACGATATCTGACTGATGTGAAATCAGTCGGTTTCCATCCCGACTTGAAGCAAAAGGACATATAGCCACACTGAGGAGCTCTGATACTGCGAAATACTATGTCTGCGGATGACTATATATATATATATATATTTTTCTTCTTCTTTCCATTTAGTATTGGTTGATATATCAATGTACTAAGTGGTAATTAATTTATTTTTAAATATTGAAAAAGTAATTAAAATTCAACAACACACTTTCATTAGCTTTAATCAAAGAAGAATTGCTGCCCAAACCTTATACACAATCCCGCACACATACATACGTATATATATATATATATATATATATATATATATATATATGTGTGTGTGTGTGTGTGTGTGTGTGTGTGTGTGTGTGTGTGTGTGTGTGTGATTTGGGCTCAAATTTACATACAGATAGGATAAAGAATAAATTGGACGCGTGGACAAATCCAATATGTTTAGCTTTTATTAATGCTTCTTCATAGATTGAGATAAGGAAATAAACGATTCTTTTAAAAAACATCATAATTCTTTAATTTTTATAAATAAAAAAAGATAATTCTTTATATGTAAAATACTTTCACCAACTATAAACACACGTTAAAAAACACTACATTACATCACCAAACTATTAAATCCATTCATAAAATCTAATATATACTTAATTTTACGACGTAAAGTACAACACACACACGCATGCACACACAGCAAATATAATATATATATATATATATATATATATATATATATATATATATATATATATATATTATCCTCCGAACATCGCATAAACAAACTAGAATTATGTTACACTTGCATACATAAATTATACACAAGAACGCTGCTTGACTAATCAAATGCATGTAACATTTGCTTAACCAATGAAAATCAAATAATACAAAAATAAAAATAAACAAAACTTTTTTCTATATCTCATTCTCTGATGAGGCTATATTTAAAACAGAAACAGATTTATAAACGTTTATCTTATCACACACACACACACATATATATATATATGTATGTATGCATACATACACACACACACACACACACACACACACATATATATATATATATATATATATATATATATATATATATATATATATGTAACACTACTTTTAAAATCTAACTGTAGAAGAAAAATAACATAATTTACTTATTAGAATGCACCCTATGCTAGAAACAATATGTCCCAAAATCTGAATGGCTCTTCCATTGCAGAATTAATTATTATATAAAAAATATAGAAGTAGGCTCCCAATGAAAGATTATTACTTGCAGAACAGCATTTCCACATAAAAAAAAAACATGATTTTAAAAGCCATGCAAAATTGACTGTTATTGAAAGAATAAAACTAGAGACAAAAGATAAAGTTAGGAAAATACTAGAAGAATATGAAAATAAATTGAATTACCAACTGAAAATACTTTGTCCAGACGGACTTAACAACAAACTAAACAGCACAGATAGAATTAATATATAATCCCACAGATCAACCTCCGCCAATATTTCACAACTACACTAGACAGACACGCTTGCAGAGGTGTCGGGGTCTCCCACATACACACACTCACACAAATATATATACATACACAAGTCACCTCCCCCCACAAAAAGTTAAAGATAGCATACATATAACACACACATCCCCATTTCAGTAACCGGTAAAGATGTCAGAATGGCTAAGAAGGTAACTCTAAAACTCATAAATCTCCCAGCCTCTCTTTAAAAGAAGTTGAAAAAGGTCTTTTGACCAATACAAGGACTGACCAAAATTTAACAACAAAAGTGGTCGTCTGTTTTTTTAATCCCGGTGTGGAACATCATTTTCGTCGTCTTCCAAAATTGCCTATTTCCCATATGAGGTAAAAGGATTAGCTTGATTATTAATTAATTGTATATATATATATATATATATATATATATATATATGTGTGTGTGTGTGTGTGTGTGTGTGTGTGTGTGTGTGTGTGTGTGTGTGTAGGATTAGTTTAAGAGGGATAAATTTTTTTAATCAAAAAATATTTTTAAAAAGAGTGCTCAATACAAAGTAGAGCAAACATAATTTATTTGAAAATTATAACATAAATATGTTATAAAATCACTACAAAAACAGCCATTTTGTTTCAACATTTCTGATGTCTTCTCAAGTGACGATGTTGAACACCATTACGTGATAAGACACCAGAAGTGTTGAAACAAAATGGCTATTTTTGTAGTGATTTTATAACATAGAAATATTATAATTTTTCGAATAAATTTATATATATATATATATATATATATATATATATATATATATATATATATATAGTGTTATTGAATGTAAAACACGACAACTGCTTAGATTGTAATTAACTGAAGATATAAATAAATTACTAACTAGGATATATATGCAAAGACTATACATAAAAACACACGAACATATACACACGCGCACACACACATATATATGTGTGTGTGTGTGTGTGTGTGTGTGTCTTGTTGAGAAACCAATTAAAACTGATGAAATCTAATTTTTTCAGTCCTATAATTCAATGGTTTCATTCCTCTTCTGTGGTGCACTCACTTCTTCATAAATTTTCCCTTTCATTTTTATTCCTTTTTTTAAAATGTACTTTACGAAATGATGGGATTGTTTTGACGCATCTCAAAACAGTAAAGAAAATGAGTAGGAGATTGAGAGACGGGTAGAGAGTGATGGTTGCGGTTTTAGAGGAGGAAGAAAAATAAATTCAATGAAAGATGATTTGAAAAATCATGAATTTAAAAAGAGAATTATAGATGCTTATTCTTTAAAAGGAAATGGTCAATGAAAAGCGAAACACTAAACAAGTAACAAAGGATAGAAAAATAGAAAGAAAGAATGAAATAGAAAGAAAGAAAGAATGAAAGAAAAGAAAAATGAAATTGCTCAGAAAAACTGCGATGAAGATACAAATAACAAATGGCGGGAAAAGGAAAAAGAAAAACTGACAGCTGACTGTCAAAATAGGTCTATAAATATATAAAATAAATAAAAAAGAAACAAACAAACGAAAGTAATAATTAATGAAGGAAACTCAGACGAAATATGAATGTAAAAATTAAATAATAATGAATGAGAAATTATTATATGAATAAAGGAAAAATAGAATAGGAAAAAAGGGAGAATGAAAAATAAAAAAGGATATATAAATGAATAAACGGAATATATGCATTATAAGAAAGAAAAAGAAAGATGTAAAAGAAGAAATTTTGGTAAAAAGAAGAGGCTCTACGAATGAAAATGTAAAGACGAAATGAAAGAACGGAAAAATGTTATAAAAATGAATGATTGAATAAAGGAAAGAGTAAGAATAAAGAATTGAATTAAAGAAAGAATGAATGAGGAAAAAATTAAGAAAGAATGAAAGATTGAAAAAAAAATGAAAGAGATTAGACAAAAATAAAAAACCAAATTCTGCAAGAGGGAAAGGATAAGGAAAGAAATGATCAAAAGAAAGTAAGGAAAATAAGATGAACGGAACTTAGGAAGGAAGATCGAATGAAATAGAGAGAGTAAGAGAGAGAGAAAGAGAAAGTGAAAGAGAAAAAGCGTGAAAGAGGGAGAGAAAGAGAGAGAGAGAGAAAGTAAGGAAAGTGAAAGAGAGAAAGAAAGAAAGATAGAGAGAAAGAGAGAGAGAGAGAGAGAAAGAGAAAGAAAGAGAGAAAGAGAGAAAGAGAAAGAGAGAGGGAGAAAGAGAGAGGGAGAAAGAGAGAGAGAGAGAGAAAAAGAGTGAGAGAAAAAAAACTTTCTAGACGATGAGGGTCGGATTTCTAACACGGTTCTTCTTTCCCGTTATCCTGCAATGGGGGGTTAGATTTCCGCCCCCGCCTTGCAGACGAGCGCAATCTCTCTGGTGTCACACGTGAGGATCGCTCTCAGCTCACAGCTGGTGGGTTCCTGACTCAACATTGAATCGACACTTTTTATTCCATGTCTTTGATCACCATGCCTATCTTACTTCTTGCACTCTCCCATTGACCCCCAACCCAGATTGAACTGCCATTTTCCCAATCAGAAATGGGAAACTCGCCACACTCCTTTTTCTCTCTCTTTCTCGCTGCCTCTCTCTTTCCAACTCGTTGCTTCTCTTTTTCTCTTTCATTACCTCTTTTTTTCTCTCTCTCACTCTCTCGCCTTTTCTCTTTCGTTGCTTCTCTTTTTCTTTTTCTCTTGCTGTCTCTCCTTTTCTCTCTCGCTGCGTTCTCTACAGATAAAATCAGTGCATAGAACATGTCAGGAATTCTAATTTGTTTCCTCTTCTTCAGCTGAAAATGTTTGCAGCTCAGAGGTTAGAAAAGCAGACTGAAGACTGACTGCTTTTGAGGTTTCATACTTGTAAAGTAAACAAATAAGTGCTCACTAATAACGACTAATTTTTATTGCATAGAGGAATATACGCCTCCTCTACATAGTCTTTTTTTTTCAATGTTAGTCAGTTATGGGAATCTCAGTAATTGCCTCACTACTGTATTTTTGTAAAAGACGCGTCAAATTACTCTTTTACTCTACTTCATGATTGATGATGTGGAATTCTCGTCAATGCTAACGGTTTGAGTCCCTGCCTCCTTGAAACTAAAATATGGAGAATCAATTTTCGGTGAAGTTATACAAGAGGCGACGCGACCAAGATTTGCTTTTGTTTGGTCTATTTTATGGCATATCAACACCTCAATGGGTTATATAGTACCGACAAAATTTTTATTGCTGGTATTTTTTTAAAAAATAGATCGCTGGTATTAAAACCTATTTTTACACTTTCATAATGTTTTGACCCCAGTTTGGTGATTAACTATCTGCTCATAGCTGGGACCGTAACAGATGCTACCACCCCGGGTCAGGATGGACCTGGGAACGCCAGCAATTAAGAGGTGGTTCCACATTCCTCAAAACCTCCTGAACATAGGCCTTGCTATTGGACGTAGTTTATCGTCATACCCAGGACGGCAACTCGACCGGGAATAATAATTTTTACCAATTTTTGTTCATACTCCGAAGGAAATAAATTATATTCTGTCAGAAAGAAAGAAATTTAAATAATTAATCAAATTTTATAAAAGTTAATAGGGGGGTATGTTTGTTATGCTAATTCATTGTAAATTGATCCCCCCTACGGGAGGGATTGAATCTGCGTTCTCCTTTATATGAGAAACTACCATTTGACTCGGCTAGCTTTACTGCTCTGAGATTTTCTTAAAACGTGATACGCAGGTTCGATGCCTGTAGGGGAGATTATTTTTTTTATTGACAGACGCAATACACACAGTGTAAAATAAAAATAAAAAATGGGATATCTATTTCAAATACGTATATTCACAAAGTTTAAAAGGTAATAAAAATGCTGAATTAAAAATAAATCCTTTATATATATATATATATATATATATATATATATATATATATATATATATATATATATATATATATGAGGTTAAGCTCACTTCCTAGGAACAGCCAGACACCAGCACATGAGATTTGATTATAGTGGTAAATATTTTGTGCACACGTTTTGAAAGACCTAGTGCACTAACAGGGTAGTTTTGTTACGTTTTAATTATATTTTTTTTGCATGTGAAAAAGTGTGTTCCTTTATGAACTTAGTGAATGTAAAAACTTGTTTGCTGAATCCGAGCGCTTTCGGTTAAAACTGTTAGCCATTTTTAGTTATACTACCATAATAAATCAAGTGTAATTTTTTTGGTACATAGTGTGAATGCTGCTAAATATAGAACTGTTTTTAATTGACAAATATCCAGAAAAGAAAAGAAAAAACGAGCTAAAATAAAGAGGGGATTGCTGATGGTTGTAAATGTAATGTGATTTATACAGCTGATTCTCTGGTAATATGTTTTGTTCCCTTTTTTAGTTATTGTACACATATAATACATTTTCTCCTTTTTGGTGTTTTTCTATTGTTCCTATATTTTTCGATCCACCATTTTACGCTGAGTCACTTTTCTTATCCTTGGGATTCATTCTGTCTTTGGTTTTATATACTTTAAGATATAAAATATTTTAAAATTTTAAAAAATTAAAAGGAATAGAGTTCTTGCATCTTCAGCGTTTCTTCTCAATGCGCAATTATAAGCGACGTTTATATCTCACCGCCCCACGTATATATATATATATATATATATATATATATATATATATATATATATATAATTGTATCGATAAGACCATTACTTTAATCAGATGAAGCCATTTTAAGGGCGAAATGCGTTACACATATTTTTTTCCATTTGTCATTCAATTACCTAACATTTTTCTGATCTAGAGAAATTTATAAATCATATTCTGAAATATTTCCGTATACATTTATACAGAATATCTCAAAAATACTTTTACAAATTTTGGGAGCGGGTCCTTCACACAAAAACAAGGACATAAACATATATACGCCAATCTTTGTTTTGAGTTATTAAGTTTAAAGATAGTTTACGATAGATGGATCAGTTGCCATGTAGACTAGATTACATTTGTCATTCATGTACATTTATGACTAGTCTGTCTTCAACGTGTAGGAGTGAGTTAACTGAGAGGTGCTCCGTCTATCAATGGCAGGTTATACGTATCGTGAGCAGGCAGATATGATTTTTATATACGGCCGCGCGAATGGTAATGGACGCGAAGCTGTACGGCTGTATCAGATTGCGTTTCTAGATCGAAGGCATCCGAGTCATCCAACTACTGCTGCTGTTTATCGACGTGTCTCTGAGACAAGATCCGTGGTACCATAAATTATGGTAATAATCATTTTTGGATTGTATCTTGGATTGTACATTTAACAGCGTCTACCGTAAACTTTAAACTTAATAACTCAAAAACAAAGGATTTGCAGACATGTTTATATGAATGTTTGTCCTTGTTTTGATGTGAAGAACCCGCCCCCAAATTTTGTAAAAGTATTTTTGACACACACTGTATATTTAAAAGTGTCCGTTTTCAAAACTCTAATACTGTATTAAAAAAGATTTCTACTTTCGGGTTACTTAAGTCAAAATATCCATTTTTAACAGTGTGTCACTAATAAGTTGATTTATCTAATGGATGTCTCTCAACAACAGTTCATTTATACAACCCACTTCCCTGAGCTGAAGGGAAGTGGTGGCGGTGACATCACAGTCTGCAGTGAAAATAATCGTCATTCTAATAATCACAAAGTCTGATGTCATTTTCATTCATTAAAATCGATAAAATTATTAATAATTGATTTTCTCGTCGGATTCAGGTAGAAATTTATTTTTAAACACTTTTCTTCCTGTTTACCGATTAATCTGAATTTGTAAACATTGAGTAGGCTAAATGAAACCGTGCTTGAAACAATGTCAGAGTCACGCCAGAAAACAGAATTTGCCATTCTCTATTTATTTTAAAAGAATTTCATACTAAGATTACAGAAAAATTACCCAATTTAGTCATAGAAACCTGCTTTCGAGTCTGTCCATATGTAATTGGCATACGAATAAAGATTTCGCGTGATAACAAGGATAAAACATAAATATTGAACGTTTGCCATGGGACAAGCGTTAGCAAGATTATTTTCTGGATCAATTCGTAGGTGAACTCGAGAGTCACATGATGGTTCATCAGTGTAGCCTTGATCTGTACAAAGTTAAAAATTGATTTTTAACCAACAAACAGGACTGACGGCATGAATTATATGTTTTCTCATAGATCTGAATGAGAGATGACTATCATTGTGTGACACCCAATTTTTGCCTTGTGTAGGCAATTCGAAACATATTGAACATCAAAGGAATATCACTGTAACACGTCTGATCCGCAATGCTTAGCCGACATTTGTGACCAAATTCCGGAGAAGACATAGGGAATTGGTCATCGATGCCCTCTGTAGACGAGAGGTCAAAACACATGCAGTGTGCAATATGGTAAATTATCGCGATATTATATATTTAATTTCGCGCATGCGCGTTGTTTATTTTTGATCTTGTCGACTGTACATTATAGGAGGGTCAGTTGGGCACCCTCTGTGAGAAAAAAAGCACCATGATGCAATTCACTCTATCAGAAACGATATTCTGTAGTGCTTGGAATTCGCGCCGGAAGTTTCAATACGAACATTTCAGAGTGATTAGGTGACAATTTGAAGACAGTGCAGAGGATTCGGAAAGAGTTGGATGGGTCTATTGGTGATTACGAAGGTAGGGCATCACGGAAAACTGACTCTGATCGTTCTGATAAGAAAAGAATTCCCAAAATTGTGGATGAGTTCCACCTGACTCAACACAGAGGCCTGCATCGTGCCTTGAGAAGTTAGTTCTTCCTTGGGTCAAGAGAATGGCTGTTGAAAAACCCTGTGTTTGGTAACAGGATTCTGCACCATGCCACACAAGCAGGTAAATCCAGTCATGGCTGTCAGACAATTTCTGCGACTACACCACTCATTACATATGCTGACGTAATTCCCTAGACTGCTACCCTTGATTATTATATATAGGGTGCAGTTGACTGAGAGACCAACAAAAACACCTTGAAGCATCAAAGATGAACTGAAGGCAAGGATTATGGCAATAGATAAAAATACTGACAAACTTTAATGCATTTCTCTTTAGTCGAACTGTTTAAAAGTTTGAACCCCACAATATGTCACTGGAACTTTTATCAGAAAATCTTAACAAAATCTATTTCTCAATAGCACATGCACTTAAAACCCAGTGGCGTTTTCCCATTGAAAACCCTTTTTGTTCTATAAAAACATGCTAATTATTCTGCTAAATATTTGGCTAT